TTATTATAATAGCAGAACTCATATCGGAAATAGCACCTCATCATCTTGCGATGTCTCAAAGGAGTTCACCCAACTCTTCGAAGTGTAGTGACTGTTCTGTAGGGAAATGTGACTCAGTCAGTGCCAGTGATGCCGCGTAAACAGCGCAGCACTGAGATGAATGACTAATTAATCTGTTTTTTTTGTGAATTAATTGAGGAGAGAATCCCAGCCAGGATAGAGAGAGAAGCCTGCTCTTTTCTGAAACAGTGCCGTGGGATTTTTTTTTTTTTCCTTTTATTGTTTGAGCGCTGAATGTTTCATAACACATTAATAATGGCATAAGGGACGTTAAGGCACGTGACAGGCAAAGGCTGAATAGAGAACGTTGTGTAACATGTGGCAACAGACATTTCTCTCTGCCTTGCAGGGGGCAAAAGGAACAACAACGACAACAACAGCAACAACTTGCATTTATATAACGCCCTTCATGCCGGGTGGCATCTCGGAGTGCTTAATAAAGACAGTAAACGGAATGTCGAACGGGTAATATAATATAATTCCTATAAAGTCCTCAAGGTGTCAGCCTGGCTCAGTTGGTAGCCTCTCGCCTATGAATCAGAAGTTCTTCGTCGAAACGTTGAGCTCACAGTCTAAGCTGAAGCTCCAGTGCAGTGTTGGGGGAAGGTTTCATTGTCAGAGGTGCCGTCCTTCGGATGAGACGTTAAACCAAGGTCCCGTCTGTGCCAGTTCAGGTGGATGTTGAAGATCTCGTTGCACTATTCACAAAGTGCTAGCCACAATCCTCCAGATAAAAATTGGTCATTCATTTCACGGCTGTCAGTGGGACATTGCTTTGTGCAGATTGGCTGTCACATTTGCCTACAGATATACTGTCACTACACTTTGCTTTGAGACGTCTTGATGATGTGATAAGGTGCCATGTCGATTGCAAGGATTATTATTCTTTATGTAAGATAATGTCGGCAGGCACAATGTTTTTTGGGTAACCTGAAAAACCCTTGAGATAAAGATCCAAGCAAAACCATACGTCAAAGAAACAGAATGATTAATGATTACATACAGCACGAAGATTCTTGAGCCCAATTTATGCTGATAGTTGCACAAGGATGATTAATGCGCGGATTGTTGGACAGAAGGGTGCAAGGTCAATATCCTTTACTGGTGCAGCGAGGAGGAATAAACTGGTTTATAAGTAGAGCAGCTTGTTCTTCTCAGGAATCTACTGTCAAAGAAGTTAATGCAGAAAATCTGAACCTGGACAGAACTTGCTGCTGAAGCAGAATTTGCTCTTTCATGAGTGGATTTGACTGTAACTGCTGCTCTTTCAATGTTTTATGGTTCTATTTACACTTAAACCAAGGCACCATTCACGACGAGGAGGCAGTTTCTCCCAGTGTCCTGGCCAGCAATCCCCGCGGATGAAATTGGTCACTCACTCAATCGGCCCTTTCCACCTCACAACCATTCTGCCCCCGCTCTCAATCATCCCTCCCCTTGTTCACCGCACATTTCAGAGTGTACATCTTTCACTGGCTTTCAAACATCTTTGCCCCACTCCACCCCCCCCCACACACACGCCCCCTCGACCCCTCCACACCAGCTCGGGTATCCATCGAGCATTGACAAGCGTCTTCTCAATGTGAAGAGAGCTGTATAAATATAAATTGTATAGCAATGTAATGTAATGCGCAATTTAGCGATAAAGCTGAGATTTGCCAAGCGATAAACAGGATCACCTCACACATATGCTATTATGTGCTGGAACGCACAGACATGGATTAGTATATCAAATATATTATCGTAACACACAGCTATCCGAGTGATACAAAAAAAATACGTCTGTCTTGTTAGTTCCATCTGCTGGAACTAACAATACATTACTGCTGTAACACTGAAATATCCCAATAATCAAAATGAGGTCGATCAGATGCTAATGACTAAACAACATTTTTCCATTTATCTGAAGGAAAAAATATTCAGAGCTCTATGTTTGATAAATCAACAACAAATGCTAAGGTTTACCAACCCTTAACATGGTAATATATTCTGGCGTAAAACTGCTTATGGGGAGCAAAGCTCTGCGAGGCCGATCACTTGCTGTAAAAGCAAAGATTTCACGTTCCCAGTAGTAATTGCAAAGGATAATGGTTATGTGCACTTTTACCCAGCGTGTTATAAGAATCCCATTGATAGCTGGGGATTAATGCTGCATCAATTGCGCCGACATAATAATCAGATTATCTATTCCTCCTGTGACAATCACATAATAGAACCATAGCAATGTACAACACAAAGAAGGCCCATTTTTTTTGTGTTGGTGCCCGCTCCTCCAAGAAGCCGTCCATCCTAATCCCAATTCCCTGCTTTTTCCTTGTACTCTCTAATACCCTTCCCCTGCATGTGTTTGTCTGATTCTTTTTTAAATGCCCCCAAATCACCACACTCCCTACCGATTTGCTTACCCTGCACTCCACCACCCGCTGCCTCTGTTCAGCCGGCTCTGGACCCCAGTTTGTCCCTCGCCCGCTCCACTCCACCGTCAGCGGCCATGCTTTCAGTCACTACACCCTGAAGCTCTGGAACTCTCTCCTCCAATCCCGTCACCTTACTCCCTCCCTCCCCTCTCCCCCTGGCTCGGGATCAGACTCCGCCACTGTCAAGTGCTCCGAGACGCTACCAGGTGTGAAGGGCGCTATATAAATGCAAGTTGTTGGTGGTGTTGTACTCTTAAAGCCAATGCCATAAAATCACTCCACACCCCGACTACCCTCTGGGAGACGTTTTATTGACCCTCTCTTTTTACTCCCCGAGTCACAACAAAAACAACAACAAATTACATGTGTATAGCGCCTTTCACATCAGGAGGACATCCCAAAGCATTGGACAGTCATGGATTTTATTATTTTATTATTCAACTTCAAAAAAAGGTCTCAATCTTGAATTCATGCCCTCTTGTCCTCAATTACCCAACCAGCAGAAAGAGTTTTTCACAATTAATTCTCTCAAACCCCTTCCTTATCCTAAACAGCTCAATCATAATCATACCTTCCCCCAACCTTCACTGCTCCAATCTCTCCAGCCTCTTCTCACAGCTACATGTGTAATAAATAATTAACCGCACAGTGAGTAGATGTCACATTGGAAAGATTTAACATGCAACATCAATCATTCAGTATTGTATCCCCACTACGTTTCCATCATTTATTCTGATAATATTTCTGAATCATTCAGAAATTAAACTTTCTTGATAAGCTGGGAAAAGCTGAAGAGGCTTACATTGTTGCTTATTGCACAGTGTCCTTCTTGAAATTATTCAAGATGCCTTTCCCTTTGAGACGGAGCACCACGTGAATAACACATTCCCGTCTTTGGCTTCCACTCCTGACTCCTGAATTCCCACTTGGCCTTATGATAGACAGGAATCCACAGCATAAAAAGTTGGGCTGCGTCAGGAGAGGAATCAGGCAATAGTGATATATATCATGTCTTGGAGACGTCTCAAAGTGCTTCACAGAATATACTGTAAAGTGAATAACTGTATATTTTGTGGGCAAAATTTGATGCAAACATGAGAGAGAAGGGAATAGAGGGGTACAGGAGAGGGGATTGGGAGGGTTGGAGGATCGTAGGGAATTGGTCCCTCACTTCAAGACTGTTTATGGGACATTACTGTGTACGAATTTGTAGATTGGAAAGAACAAGAGGGCTGAAATTCCAGAGTGTGTTAAGCGTAGCACCTTTGGCATTGGAAAATAATAATAGGGTAAATATCATTGGGGTCCAATCACCAAAGGCGCTATGCATAAAGCTGACGGGAATTTCTGACTATTAGTCTGACCATAAAAATCTGACTATTATTAATGATAATATAAATAATAATCTCCGCATTTAATAGTGTGGATTCCTGTAGCTCAGTGGTTAGAGCAGTCGCCTTGCAAGCGAGAGACCTGTGTCCAATTCCCGGCAGGGTGAAACCTTGGGCAAGATTCCTTACTCCAAACATCTGAAAAAAAACCACAATAATAATTTGGTCACTTCAATCCATGACTGTTTGTGGGACGCTGCTGTCTGCAATTGGCTGCCGTGTTTCGCCCATAAAAAGCTATTTAAACAGTCCCCGAAAGGCAACAGAACACCGGCAAAAAAAAAAAGCCAGGATTAAAACACTGTTCGAAAACAATCACAGCATAATATATTTTGTATACAATATTATTATTATTACTATTATTGGCTGCCACGTTTTGCCCAGCAAATACCACAGTCAATACACTTTACAACGTATTCTGAGAAGCGCTTTGAGATGTCTCAATTACTTCGATTGCGAACGCAAGAATCAGTTGCAAGACTTTGTTTCGAAATTAAAGATTTCAGCAATGCAACCCAGCGGATGAAATGCATCCAGGTTTCATTCCAAATGTTTCCCCTCTGCAGCTCTTGACAGAGAAAAATCCCTCATTCCAGTCGACAGAGGGCGAGGGGGAACTTTCTATCCTTCTGGGTTCTTTTTTTTAGAGAGAGAGAGAGAGAGAGAAAGAGAGAGAAGCCAACAGTGCATGTTTTAAGTTGGAGGGGAGAAATCACTCAGATAGAAGGAAGGAGTGCAAATTAAGCAGAGCTGATAGAACAGTGGACGAGTGAGAGAGAGAGAGTGAGAGAGATTGAGAGAGAAGTGTGAGAGTGAGTGAGGGAGTGAGATGTAACGCTTTGGGAAGGTCCATCTATAGTTTTTTTTTGAAGAGAGTTGATAGATCTTGCATCAATTTGCCATTTGTTTCAGGAAAGAGAGGAAGGGGGGAAAGAGAGAGAGAGAGAGAGAGAGAGGGAAAAAAGATCAATTGGAAGTCATCCCAAAGTGCCAGAAAAGTAAGGAAAGGGAGAGAAAAAAAAATAGATTGTCTTTTGTTGGATCGATTGGGGTTTCAGTGATTTATTTTTTTGGGGGGAGTGAATTTACAAATATATTTATAGATAAATAGATATATACACACATTTAAATATATATATATTAATATATATATATATAAGGAACAAAAATGAATGTCTTCATCACTGCCCTGCTCCTGGCTCAGATCGCCCTGTGGGAACCCGCAGCCACTGGCAACCTTGCGAAAAGGGGCTCGGATTTTGCGCTGGGCGTCTACGAAACCGACAGCGAACAGCAGCTGGGGTACCAGAGCCAAGGGATGATGAGCCCTGGGATGGACAAGCAAGGACCAGGGGACACATTCCGACACCAGTCACAGAGACGCAGACGCAGACACAGACGGGGGTCGGATGGAGAAGAAACCTTTGCCCCCCTGGTACTTGTGCAACCAGCAAACCTGCAGCCCACCAGCCAGCCCAGAGCTGCCAGTGTCCACATGGATGTGTCTCCTCTGTCTCTGTCTCTGGGGGGGGAAGGATGGTGGGTCAGGGGCAATGCCAACCAGACTGCCCTGGCCCCCAGCAGGCAGACCCCTCGCCTCTCCAAAGGGCAGCTCAGGAGAGAGAAGGCTGAAAAGAGATTCCAGTTAGAAAACACTCTCTACCCCATCACCGACAGCTCCTACAGTGCCTATGCTGTGATGCTGCTCTCACTGATTCTCTTTGCTGTTGGGGTGGTCGGCAATCTGGCTGTCATGTGTATAGTTTGCCACAATTATTACCTGAAAAGCGCCTGGAACAATATCCTGGCCGGCATGGCTTGCTGGGACTTTATCATCATCTTCTTCTGTTTGCCTGTGGTCATCTTCAACGAGATTACTAAGAAGCGTCTGCTTGGATTCGTTGGGTGCAAGATTGTACCGTACTTAGAGGTAATGTCACCTTTTTGTCTCTTATCTGTGAAGGGGCTCTTTATCAAACTGCAGATGCAAGCATTGTTTATTACTTTCAGGAACCAAAACCGAGTCCCGTTAACCCTGCGAAGCCAAAGCCCTGATGGGTGGGGTGGTCCTAACTGGACAAGCAGTGGGAAAGTTTGCCAGGCAGGGCTTTCAATGGGCAAGCTATGTGGTTTTAGCTGGTTAGACTCCAGCAGATACCCCAACACACATTCTGGGGTCCTCAAGTCCTTGCCAATCTGTGCCCAATACTCTCTGGAATTAAGTAAGCAGGGTATGTCCCTCCAGGGAGAGAGTGCGCATTCCATCCCGATAAATATCTCTTGAATTTCCATGTGTAGGTGGGATGCATGGAACTCAGTTCCGTTTGGTTAGTCTTAAGCGTGGTGATGGGTTTCCAATTGGTTTCGGACACCCGACTGACTAAAAAAAAAGGGCAAGAGAAGAGAAAAATACAACATTTGTAAAATACAATTTTTTTTTGAATTGAAATGTAATTTTAAAGTTTAAAATCAGTTTAAATGTACGTTTTTCTCTCTCTACGTNAAAAAGTGTTAATGCCCTGAATGGTTACATGGGAAGGGTTAATATGGGTCTGAAAGACTGTTTTTGTACTTGTGAAAATTAATTGAAACTAATGGTATGATAGGAAGAGTCGGCACATTATGTTTTTTTCCAAACAATAAGTTTGAGGTTTAGATTAATCAGCTTTCTGGGGTTGGGGTGAATTGGGATCGAGAGGATCACTTGACTGTGAGGAAATGTCTATCCGAAGGACTTTTTAAAGAGTGGTTTAATAAGAGCCTTTCCCTCGTGAAACCAGAAGGTTTTAGAATGCCGGTAAGACAAATAAATGTGTAAGCTCAAGCACTCTCGGACGCTTCCCTCCATGAGGGGCACTGTATAAATGCAAGTTGTTGTTGTAGTTGTAAACTGCCCGAGCATATCACCCTCGAAAACCCACAAAATTAACTTAAATACATATTAATTCTTGTGTTTGAGAAAAGTGCCTTATCACATCGTCGAAACTTCTCAAAGAGCTTCACGGGATTTCGACCGTGTGTTTTGTGGGTAAACACGGCAGCCAATTTGCGCGCAGGAACGTCCCACAAACAGCCATAAAGTGAACGACCAATTTCATCTGGAGGATTGTTGGCCAGGAGACCGGGAGAAACTAGCTTAACCTTTTCAAGTTATAGTCACGGGGAAGAAGCTAATTGTTGCCAACGGAACAAGTGTATGTAGCACTTATCAAAAGATAATTTTGCTTAAGAGTTTGGTTGTGACCCTGTAAATACTGACCTCGTCAGACATACGACTCCTCTATCTTGTTCTCTCCAACAGTGGTTCATTGTCATTTCCATGAAACTAAATACATGAAAGAACTTCTTCCCAGGGTTAGCCCAGGACAATGAGAGATTTGATGCTCATTTAAAGGCTGTGGGTTATTTTGCAAATAAGAGTTTTAAATATTTCGCCAGGAGCGGTGATGTTTATGGTCAGGTTAGTTTGGCTAACGCGACCAGAAATTTCCATCGGTTGCAACGACGATTTATATTTACCTCGTACCTTTCGTGAACCGAGGACCTGAGTTGGGGGGGGAATAAATAAGTGGGTGTGGCGGTGGGGTGGGGAGAGAGATACAGAGGTGGCCAAAAGTGCTAAGAGTCTTGCTTCGGGGTCAGAAGGTTGTTGGTTTAAGCCCGCAGCTGTGCTCATTATCCAGGCCGACACTTCCGTGCACTACCAATGGAAAGCTGGAGTGTCAGAGTTGGCATCCTTTGGACGAGACTTTAAAACTGAAGTTTCATCTGCCCGTTCAGATACCACGGCACAGTTACAGAGACTACCACGGAATTCTCCCAATGTCCTGGCTACGTTCCATCCATTATCCAATCCGCCTTTCAAAGCAAAGCAGATTAATTGGTCGTTCCTCTTGGCTGTGGTTGATAGATTATACCGATTAGTGGTTGTGTTTTTAACCTGCGTAGCATTAAATTGTTTGAAAACTGTGATACATATACATGGGATAAGGCAGCTCTGCATTGCAAATGCAAATATTTACATTTTATAGAAATTATAGCTGTCAAACAATGAATGTTCTACTTTCTACACAATATTTAAAGATTAAAAACTATGTACAAATGGCGTAGCATCTTATTTCTGAAAGGGGGGAAAACAGGGAGAATATATAAAATGTGATTTCTATATTCGCTTCAAATGCAAATATTTGTATTAAATGTTTATGAAACACACAGTCATTGCAAATTACAGCAAATCCTGTGAACAACTTTGAGACATCCCCTCAGCTGAAAAGTGCTTTATCAAATGCAAGGATTATTATTTTTATTGTATTTATGTTGTGCATCCAGCATTACAAAGCCAATGGTTTACATTAAATTGCTGAACTTATAATTACATGATGCAGAACTATACAATCCAGAGAATAAATATGCTTTAAATCCCCAGCTATAACTCCTGAAATCTTAATTATTTTGTTAAGCATTTAACACCATACGTTGAAGTAACAGCAAAACAAATTAGGATAATTTTGCAAAATGCATTGAAACAAAATGCTGTTCCAATGTTGCATTAAAGGAATCGATTCCATCACAGAGAACACATAATGATGCTTTTCATTGTTTTCCCTCCTTATAAATAAGATGTTAATTTATTTGTATATAGTTTTTAAACTTTAAAAATAGTTTAGAAAGTAGAATATTAATAATATTAATAAAAACTATAGGACTGTTTGTATGTAATGCTGTAATTTATCCAATAACTGGATGCATACATAAGGTAGAAAAGGATAGAGGGGTATAGGTGAGGGGAATAGGAGGGATGAGGTTTGTGTGGGGTATAAACACCAGCACAGACATGGACCAAATGGTCTGTTTCCATGCTGAATCACTCACTCTTATGTAATTATAAATCGCCATTTCACACAAAAGTCAAAACTAGTGGGTTTGGAATTTTGAACTGGTTTCATTCTGAACACTAATGGCTTTCATTACCCGCTTGTTTCATTTCTAGATCTCTTCTCTTGGGATCACCACCTTTAGCCTGTGTGCATTAGGCATAGACAGATTCCGTGCAGCAACAACAGCTCAGTCGCAGGCCAGACTGATAGAAAGCTGTCGGTCCATTGGGGCCAAGATGTCTGTCATTTGGATCGGATCAATGTTACTAGCCGTCCCCGAGCTTCTCCTCTGGCAATTGACGGAAGAGTCGTCTGTCGTCTCTGGAGTCACCACGGACTATTGCACAGTCAAAACCTCGCTGGACCTGCCCGAATACGTGTACGCACTCGTTCTTACCTACGAGAACGCTAGGATGTGGTGGTATTTCGGCTGTTACTTTTGCTTGCCCATCACCTTCACAATCATGTGCCAGATCGTGACCAGAAGGATAAGAAGCAACGAGAAGAAATCTGGTTGCAAATTGGTTTGCCACAACGGCCAACAACAAAGTCAAATGAACTACACCCTGATCGGCTTGACCATCCTCTACGGTTTCTGCATTGTCCCCGAGAACGTCAGCAACATTGTGGTGTCTTACATGGCTTCCGAAATCTCCAAAGAGACAGTGGACTTACTCAACATCATTAATCAGTTCTTCCTTTTCTTTAAGTCCTCCGTAACCCCGGTGTTGCTCCTCTGCCTCTGTAAACCTTTGGGCCGAGCCTTCATGGATTGCTGTTGCTGCTGCTGTGATGAATGTACTTCTGATGCCTCGGGAAGTGATAGCCACGAGACCAAGTTGAAGACAGAAATGAAATCGATTTTCTCTGACAAGCCCAAGGAAGCATCGACAATAATGGCCATGGGCACCCAGTGTTAATGGAAGGCTTTTCATAGTCACCATGTGTTGGCCTTCAGCAATCGCTATGGATCTAACAGAAGGTTATCTCTCTCTTTTTTTTCACAGCTTATAGTAAAGTGAACTAGTAGATCAGCAAAGGTTAGTTAGCTCCCAGTCAGCCTTTGCCAACTGATCTGTTCAGATAAGTGTCTTATATTTTATCTTCCAGAGTCTTGGCTTTCTTTCAGGCTGTGAGAAGTATCAAAAAACAAGCAGTGAAAACTGATCTAATCATTAAAATGTGATGAAGGGGGGCCTTTTGCAACAACATACTAATATTTTCACTTGATTCATAATACATAATTCGATCTATAGCGAGGTCTCTCCTGTGCATTTAGAGCAAACTGTGTCTGACATTTTAATTATTCAATACAAGATATTGGTGATCAGCTTCACTGGATTAGCGCCACTCGTGACATTTGCATAGAGAACACTGGTTGTGCCATGAATATAGCACTTAATAGTCTTGCTGTGTGTAGTATATGCCATTCAATAACCATGCAATAAACGCCTTGTCTCTAGATCTGTCTGTGTTGTCCGATGAGAATGATGTTCGTTTCTTAAAAGCCTTACAATGTACATAAGGTAGTAACTAGATACAACTACTATCTTTTCATGAAGAATTAGAAACATGGCTCTTTTCGTATTCATGGTATTATATTTAGAATAATAATACCACCAGCAGCTGTATATCCGCACAAGGGTGTGCTTTGCTCTGTATTTACAATGTTGTGGTGCCATAGCATTGTATCAAATAAAACTGTGAATATTATTTCAGTTCTCAATGTCCAGCCTCGGGCCTTTGTCTTATTTCATGTGGTCTCCATCTGGTGCCTTTTCCTTTCGATTGCTGCTTTGTGATTACTAAGAAGTATCCATTAACTTCTCCATTATTGTACTGTCACTACTTTTCTATCACTATTAAATTCCTGAGCTGTTTCAACAATAAATCTTCTGTATTATAGATATTATGGAACACAAGTTTCCTTCCTCTCCACCCCGTCCAATTTAATCATCAGCCTGTTGCACGTATCTTACCCCATCTGTTTTGCCATTGACGGCAAAGCTTTCAGCCACTGTGTGAAAATCTCTGAAATTCTCTCCCACAATCCCACCGGCTCACTCCCTCTTTCTCAGTCTTCAAAATACTTCGGTCACCTCGGTTCTAAACCTCTACTTCCCATCTTTGTCCGAGCTTCTACTCCATCCCTGCAAAGTCCTCTGAGACGTGTATCCTACATGAAAGGCACTTACACAAAATATGACTTTCTCCCGGGGTCCTGGCCGACAATCTTCCCCCAAAATAAAATTGGTCACTCACTTCATGGCTTGTTTGGAAGGATGCTGGTGTGTGCAAATTGGCTACCATGTTCACTTACAAAAACACAGTTACTACACTTCACACTAAATTCCTGTGCAGCGATTTGAGACGTCTCAACAATGTGATAAGTCTCTAGAGCAAATGAAGGATTATTGTTGATTATGATTATATAAATGCAAGGTCTGGTCATTGCTGAACAACAAACATGAGATCATGAAGCTGACTAGAGAGAGAGAGAGAGAGAGAAGTGTCTGGAGACTAAAATAAACACCATTTTGAAAAGGCTCAAAACAGTGTTGATTTTCCCAGGGTCAGTAATAAGTAGAAAGAAAGAGCAAAATCTGTGAAAATCTCTTCTCTTTAGCAATTCTAAATGCCAAGCTTGACTAAAACGGTAGAATTAGTGCTCGAATTGAGTTCTAGTTAATGACCGTTTCTATGGTATCAGCTTTTCAAAGAATCTCACATCTCACAGGTTGTGAGAAGCCATGAGTAACTAATTTACAAAATGAGGCTGCAATCCTCTACACAATCGCGTCTTAGAGCAGACTTACATTTGGCAAACTGGTCACCAGCAAAAATCTAGTATCGGCAAGATTCATGCTGGCTTCCCTGCTGTTCCGCTGTTTGGATCTGTCAGTCACTTGTTGTCTATAATACATTTCTGAAAGACATGCATAGATGTACATTTTGTCAAACAAACCAAAGGTGACAGGGTAAAGGAGATATAAATGGGGGCAGCCACTGGTATTATTTATTAATGTGTTGCCTTGCCCCTTAAGACAATCAGGGCATATTTTCTCACAAGCTCTTTAGATTCAAGGTGGAAAATAAAGGGTTTAGAATAATGAACCGCTAATATGAAATGTTTAAGCTGCAAAATATTCAACTAAGCAGACCAGATCATTTAAGGAAAGGCTTGAAGCTACATAGAAGGCAGTGAGGTTGGTATGCTGAAAGCAGGAGATCAAATGGACCAACAACAAAATGACATTTGTATTGCGCCTTTCACATCGGGGGGACGTCCCAAGGCGCTGGACAGTCAGAGTGCTTAGTGAGCTGAGGGTTGAGATCGGGGAGGGTGGGGAAGCAGGGTGATCGAAAGCACGGTCAAAGAGAAGGGGGGATTTTCTTCACCTCCTATGATCTAGTGGTGAGAAAATGGTGACAAATGAGTAGTTACAGCGAGATTTTCTGCCCAGAAGCAATAGGTGTGGCAAGATTCTTGGCTGCTTAGAAACTGGGAAATGTTCGCACACAATGTATTTTCCGAACATTCAGGCAGGAACATATATGTGCACTTTACAAAAACTCATTAATGAGATGTTAACCAGTAGAGGAGAGAAGGGGATTTCTCCTGATGTCTTGCCCTCCAAAAAGCAAAACAATAATAAATTGGTCATTTTCAATCTACGACTGTTTGTGGGACGCTGCTGTGCGCAATTGGCTGCCGCGTTCGCCCACAAATATACAGTCAATTCACTCTACAGTATATTCTGTGAAGCACTTTGAGACGTCCAGAAGACGTGAAAAGCGCTGTATCAAATGCAAGGATTATTATTATTATTTACAGTCAGGTCTGCAAAGCACTTTGAGATGACCCGCTGACGTGAAAAGTGCTGCATGAAATGCAAGTATTATTATTATTTTGATCGTGCCTCACTTCCTACCAGGACTCAGTTTAAATGTCTTCTTGGGATCTCCAGATTTGTTTCTGAAACGCCTGTTGTCATTGCTGCACTGACTCCACATTGTACGGACGTTTTAAAAGAATTTCCCAAGCTCTGAGCTTCAATTGCATAGTCAAGGTAAATACTGACAGTGGAAAGTTTAGGAAGAAAATCTTTACTTGCTCACTAAGCACAGAATAACTTAATTTTTTTTACCGTAAATGGAAGTTTGTGATAAGGATTTTCTCCTTTTTTTTAACACACACACACACACACACACAAACAAAATGGGAAATTCAGCACAAACTTTCATGCATGCAAACTGTTGAAAACATTTAGTTCCATCACTTATGTAGATGTAAATGTGTTTCACAGCATGGAATGAAATGTGGGGGCTGTCAATGACATTATTGTGATATTGAAAGCCGTGCCATTTTTTTATGCTGTAAGTATCCGTTTTGTGCTGAAATCCATCACAACCGGTCATTTTCATAAAAATGTATTCAGTCGGAGAGTTGAAAAGTGCTCACTTAGCTCTGTGACTGTCACATTCTTTGTTTTTACTCTGGTAAAACCTCATGGCTTGACTCACACTCACTAAGGGATGGTTTTAATCATATAATGCGACTGTAAAAAACTAAGCTCCTTCATGTAACTTTGACAATTTAAGGATTTTATCTGCCATTTCAGTTTGAATTAAATTGACATCGATTTTCTTTGGTCATGAAGTAGGTCAATGATATTTTTCCAAGCCTTTGCTGTCACGGCTCTAAGCCAGTCACCAATAATAATAACAATCCTTGCATTTGATATGGCGCCTCATCAAATTTTCGCGACGTCTCAAAGCGCTTCACAGGATGTACTGTAAAATGTAGTGACTGTGTGTTTTGTTGGTGAAATGTGGCAGCCGGTTCCACAAACAGTCGTGTGACCACATTATTATTATTTATTTTTGAAGGGATTATTACCCCTGGAAAGCGATCCACCAATCGACTAAAAAGCGGGTTCCTACTTACTGCTGGGTAAACAGAGGCGTGTGTGCGCGCGCATGGAGTAAGGAAACTTGCCTAAGGTTTCGCAGAACAGCCACTTTGTTCCCGCTCTGTCCCTGTGGTGAAGCAGCCAGTCTCCCCTCAAGTCCTCACAGTGATGTGACCACGTTCACACTTGCAGTGCAATGGGAAGCAACCCATGTTTTACCACTGTGTAGCTCCGGTGTGCTAATCCACTCCATTAGCCCCATTTATTCACCTACAGATTACAGTCAATACACTTTACAGCATAATCCTGTGCAGCACTTTGAGACACACTCCCAACATGAAAAGCACTCGATCAAATGCAGGGGCTATTATATATATTTAAAAATGCTATTGTGAATACTCCACACATAGAGTTTGCTACAAATTGGGAGAATGATCTGAATGACTCACCTCAGGACTGGTTAACCTATCATTGCCAGTTCTTCTTCATTTACTGCACTCGTTTTCCAACGTTTAAACTATTGACGTGAGTGAGTATTTGTCTTTCACTCTCTCCAACTGATAGTACGGCGTCGGTGTGCATTTCACGTGATAAACATGCCAGATTTGTGTTTGTCTGCAAAAATTTATTGTGTGAAAAACTCAGTGTTTTGGCATTATGAGCCGTGTTGCCAATTTCACTTCTCAGGGTTTTTTCTATGGACTGCCATTTGTTAGATATCCTCCAGTGAGTTTTTGAACAATGCATATTTTATGGTTTGCATTTTATATGCAAAATGAATCATATCTCCAGCGCGTTGCAGGGAATATGATGATCTGAAAGGTTAGGGGTAAAATAAATATTGTTCGGTTTCTGGGATCTACACCACTTAAAGCATACGTTTTTAATATGTATTTGGCTTGTGCTTTTCACTTGTTTAAATTTCTATGCATTTCTTTCATTTTGCAAATTTCATGTTCTCCTGTCTGCTCCAGGACACTACACCGTGTGAAAGGCGCTATATAAATTCAAGTTGTTGTTGTTGTATAACACATAATTCTCCAATAGAGAGAACAGCAAGGTTTATCACTTCCCAGAACTCCATCTATGTCAGGTTTGACTCAGTCAGGATCATGTGGGGACAAGCACTGTGTACCTGACTTGCTATTGACAAGCTAAAATAGGGTCGAGTCATCAGTTTACTGTATTTTTCTTTGGTTGATCTGTTCCCAGAACTCGTGTCGGATAGAAATTGCTGCTACAACCTCCGTTACTCCCTCCTCCTCCATCTACCTTTAAATTCTCCCCCTTCCTCACCTGCTTTGACTGGGCTTACAGTCACACGTGACCAGCCTCTTGGCTGTTTTCTGTACTGGATCTAGTCCTCCTTATGTCCTACTGACCTCATTTCTGTTCCTCATAATCTTCCAGGTCTGACCAGGGGGTTAAATGCTCATTATTTTATGCGGTTTCTGATCAGCAGAATTTTGCACATTTCCTCCCTCAGGTTCTTTGTTCACAAAATACACAGTCGCTTTGAGACATCCCCTTGATGCAAAGGGCATTAACTATATCAAATGCAAGGATTAGTGTTAAAAAATTCAAACGGACTTGTATTCAGTTTTTACTCCGAATTTGCAGAGGAAGGAATTTCAGGTGTTGGAAGAAATTCAGAAAAATTGCCGTTTAGCAAAAGCTTCACCAACCTGGCCCCAGTTTTTCCTAAAAGTACATTATATGCTCATTTGTCCAAATAAGGCTCCCATTGAAACTCTCTGCCACTAAATGAAGTGTTCAAAACACGACATGCAAATGTGATGAGAATATATTA